TCAGCAAGTTCTGCCTCTAGAGAGCACAAGAACAGCTACTTATGATTTATTTCATGACTCTGAAACTATTACTCCCTCCAATGGCTGTACAAAGTCAATATAATGTGCACTTGGATACCTAATTCCTCATGGCTACTGCACAATGCTTAGGTTGTTTATATTTAGAAGTCAGAAAAACATGTTGCTTGCAAGGCATTAAGATGCATGAGGTCACTTAAAGCTATTGATTGTATTTTCATTATCCGTTGGCACTTAGGGAAGGCATTTCCAGATAATTGTCTTCAGTATGGCTGGTCATTAGTTCTCTAATCTGTAATTTAGACACTGCTGTCAAACTAAAATATCCAGTCCTTTGTTAAGCTCTATTTTTTATCACTTGCCCTAAGCTATGAGCAAAATGCCTACAGTGACAATAACACGTTTATTAAATTGCTATATCAACCCATTCACCACTCAGTCCAGCCTAGTGTTGCTATTAAACTTTCTCAAGATGTCTATCCTATGGGCTCTCATATCACCCAATACATATCTTCACCATGTCAGTATTTACCTGCTAGGGAGGTGGCCTTACCCTACACTTGAAAATTTCTTAAAGCCTGTCTTAAAGACTAGTGTCTTGTAAGTCTTTGGTTACATCTAAGTTCCCAGCACTTAGCAGTGTCTGGCATTTGGTAACTCTCATTGTTTTTTGAACAGATTGTTGCAAAGTTAGTTGTTTTTCTTCCTTGGCACCAACCTTAAAGGTTAGAATCACCATTCCAAAATTTCCTTTCCATAAATTTATATACGTCTTTTGAAACTCTGTACTGCCAGCCTTTATCATACCTGAAAATCTGACCTGAAAATGTGTCAGCTCAGTTTAATTACTGCAATCGCCTCCTAACAATTTGCCTCCAGTTTCTCTTTCAGGTTACCAATACTGTTCAATGCATCCAAATTCATGTTCCTTTAACACACCTTACATTTTTAATCCCCTAAAAGCAACTTGCTGCTCTAAGAATAAAGTATTAACTTTGCACTAGTATTGAAGGCCATCTTTTTCCTTCTCACTAATTTTCAATGAAAAATTTATTTAGATAGTGAGTTGGGGGTCCCCAAGATCATACTGAGGTTCAATGATACACTTGGAATCATAGGACTCAGAAAAGCTGCTATGCTCCCAGTTACAGTTTATTACAGTGAAAGGATATAGATTAAAATCAGTAAATGGAAAAGGTGTGCAGGGTGAAAATCAGGAGAAACCAGGCACAAACTTTAAGATGTCCTCTCCCAGTGGAGCTGCACAGACAGCACCTAATTCAGCAACGGTGTTTACCAACACATGCAAAGTATTGCTAATGAGCTCTCTTGAGCCTTGGTGTTCAGGGTTTTTATCGGGGTTCAGTCACATAAATATTCAGCTCCCTCATAACTGACCTTAGCTACTGAATCTCCAGTTTCCCAGAGCTTAAACTGTAACAGCAAGGCCCATGGTCTCAGGCGTACAAAAGCACTTGTAACAGGTAAGATATCCCAAGGACTCAAGAGGTTTTCTTCCAGGAACTGGTGAAACACAGGTCCTTTCTTTGCAATATAAAGGATTTGAGCCTTTACTGTACAGAGAGGTCAGTCTGCTCCTTATTAGTCAACCACATCTTACTCCTTCCTGCCTTCCTGTCTG